AGTTGAACTAGAAAGAAGAAGATGCCAGAACATTTTGTACCCAGATTAGCAAGAATGACATGGACAAAAAGTTGACAGTGTTCATAGACATCTTAACAAAGCAGAAGAGGAGGGAATGCTAGGGAACTAAAACAGCCCCAGTTTTTCCACTGAAGCCATGGTGAACTAGCAGGAGATATTCTAAATCTCATCCCAGTAGTGAGGTATTTACTGGCAAAACACTGTTATTTGTTATTGACGGATGAAAGAAATACACATTTATGACTAATTGCTCTTCTGCTAATTACTGTCACGCTGCACAACGCACTCACAAGACCCATCATATAAAGAAATCCTATCACATGCTACACGGAGTTGCCCTTGTTTGAAGCAGCTCAATTTGGATCAAATGCAGGTAATCTACCAATTGATTTTTTATATGGGAGCTTATATTTGAACCACTGTTTGTGGCATCTTAAATATGTATGGCCTGACTCTCCAACTGGCAGTCCCAAGAACCTCAACTCAGCAGCAACTGCTGTGGAATGGTGTCTGCCTTGTTTTAACATGACCGCCCCTCCTCCAGACCTCACCAAATGTCATGTAATCTTTACTTAAAGTCAAACAAACTTACATGTAATCCTGAAACTCGGTGAACATCTCTCTGATATTTTGGTGAGATGTACCAACATATAGGAAAAACTGAATTAGTATAAAATCCACAAATAATTTAAAATGCTTCATCAGACTTTACCACTTTACAAATTTCTGTTTACTCTGCTTACCTCCTGGAGAAGATGCTGATAGATTATGAGCTAACCAGAAAAAGCTGAATAAATTCAGTGACCAATATTTGATAAATGATCAAATAAATAACTGAATGTCGACATTGACTCATTTACTATATGTATGTAGTAGGTACTTTACATAGTAGTTACTGTAAATAAGAAATTGATAGCCTGTTCAGGAAACAAATGTGAACAAGTACACTTAATGAGCAAGTTCCTATAACAGAAATACAAAAAATATAAGTGTAAGAAGAAAAGAAGTTAACAGAGAAGTTCTAACAAGAAGTGAGTCAGGAAAACATTGACAAAGAGATATCATCTCACCTAGCCCTTGAAAAACTGCTAGAAATTTATCTGGTAGAGGTGAGGGGAGGAAAGGAGAGAGATGAAATACAAAGCAAGTACAATGGTACTGCCAAGATAAAAGCATGGAAGTGTAAGAACATGTGAATTTTTCTAGCAATAACAATTACTCCAATGCGGCTACATGAAAGATTCCCAACTCTGGCAAGAGAAAGAAGCAGCATTGGACATGTAATTTTTTTTGTCATCTCACAGATATTTATGAGGTTCAGCCAGATCTCAGAAGCACTGGACCAGAAACACAGATGGGATTACGAGAAGAGCAAAGCTAGAGGTTAGACTGGAATTAGACTTTAAAGGCCTTAAAAGCCAGTTTGGGCTTCTAATTTCCCCTCCCAAAACTATGACAAAATTTCTGTGTAAACATTATTTTGTTGAAAGTAACCATACATTTATCATATTTGGGTTCTGGATCCCAAAACAAGGTTAAGAATCTCTTTTGTAAACAGGAAATCAACCAAGTTTTGAAACAAAGGAATGACATGAAATGATGCTCTTCTCTCGGTAGGCACAACAACATCCTCTCAGAGATGCCCTCCTTCTCATTACCAGGACATACAACTACATTAGATTACATGGCCAGAGGGAATTAGGGCTGCAGGTGGAATGAACGATGCTACTCAGCTATGAGGTAGGGCAATTATCCTGGATTATCCAGACAGACTCACTGTAATCCCAAGGGTGATTAAAAGTGGGAAAGGGCTCTGGAAGTTGTGGTGCAGCAGGTTAAGCCGCTGCTTGCCACACCGGTATCCCATACTGCAGTTCCATGTGGAGTCCTACCTCCACTTCTGATCCAGTTCGCTGCTAATGCACCTTGGGTCAGTTGATGACCCAAGTACTTGAACCCATGACACTCACTTAGGAGATCGGGATAGTATTCCTGGTTCCTGGCTTTGGCCTGGCCCGGGTCTGGATGTTGTAGCCATTTGGGGAATGAACCACAAATAAAGGATTTCAATCTCTGTCTCTCTCTTTCTCCCTCTCTCTCTCTCTTTTTACTCCATATCTTTCTCCTTCTCCCTCTCCCTCTCTGACACTCTGCATTTCAAATAAATAAATCATTTAAAAAGTTCAAGAAAGGACAGGTATTTAGTCTAGCAATTAAGACACCAATATCAGAGTGCCTGGGTTTGATTCCCAGCTCTGGCTCTTGATTCCAGCTTCTTGCCAATGCAGACCCTGAGGGGTAGCAGATGATGTTTCAAGTAGTTGGGTCCCTACCACTTCTGTAGAAGATGTGGATTGAGTTCCTAGCTCCCAGCTTCAGCCCTGTCCAGTCTCGGCTGTTGCAGGTACTAACCAAGGGATGGGGATGGCAGCTTGCTCTGTCTGCTTCTCTGTCTCTTCCCCTGCCCCCTTCCTTTTTGCTCCATCTCTCTCTACCTCCCAATAAACTAGTTGTAAAAAGTGGGAGAGGAAGACAAAGGAGAGAAGGGGAGAGGAGAGGAGAGGAGAGGAGAGGAGAGGAGAGGAGAGGGGAGGGGAGGGGAGGGGAGGGGAGGGGAGGGGAGGGGAGGGGAGGGGAGGGGAGGGGAGGGGGAAGGAATCCAGAGAGGGACTGGCACCGTGGTGCACTAGGGTAATCCTCTGCCTGCAGTGCCAGCATCCCATATGGTCACTGGTTCTAGTCCCGGCTGCTCCTCTTCCTTTTTTTTTTTTTTTAATTAATTTATTTATTTGAAAGTCAGAGTTACACAGAGGAGAGGCAGAGAGAGAGAGAGAGAGAGAGAGAGATCTTCCATCTGATGGTTCACTCCCCAGTTGGCTGCAACAGCTGGAGCTTCCCGGATCCAAAGCCAGGAGCCAGGAGCTTCTTCTGAGTCTTCCACATGGGTGCAAGGGCCCAAGCACTTGGGCCATCTTCTACTGCTTTCCCAGGCCATAGCAAGGAGCTGGATCAGAAGTGGAGCAGCTGGGTCTCGAACCGGCGCCCATATGGGATGCCAGCACTTCAGGCCAGGGCGTTAACCCACCACAGCGCCGGTCTTGCTTCTCTTCCAATCCAGCTCTCTGCTGTGGCCTGGGAAGGCAGTGGAGTATGGCCCAAGTGCGTGGGCCCCTGTACCTGCATGGGAGACCAGGAGGAAGCCCCTGGCTCCTGGCTTCGGATCAGTGTAGCTCCGACCATTGCAGCCATTTGGGGAGTGAACCAACGGAAGAAGACCTTTCTATCTGTCTCTCTCTCTCTCATTGTAACTCCACCTGTCAAATAAATAAAAAATAAAATAAAAAGAAAGAAATCCAGAGAAAGAAATGTGAGGACAGAAGCAAGATCAGAGATGCTTTGTTAGCAACTTTAAATATGGAGGCAGAGAGCCATCAGCCAAGGAATGTACTCAGATATAGCCTCCAGAAGCTAGAAAAAGTATTCTCTCCTGGACTCTCCAAAAGGGAGCATAGCCATGCTGACACCTTCCTTTTATCCCAGTGGTGCCCACATGAAACTTCTCAACCACAGAACTGTAAGACAATAAATGTGTGTGGTTTAAGCCATTACATTTGTGGTAATTTATTACAACAGCCATAAAAAACTAATAGACTTCCTTACCTAAAAACAATTGGATTTCACTATGTTATCCCCAATCAAAAAACGCCTCAATTTCAAAGAACTATTTATGGGCAGCTGTTGTGGCAAAGTGGGTTAAGCTACTGTCTCTGACACCGGCATTCCATATGGGTACTGGATCGAGTTCTGGCTGCTCCATTTCAGATCCAGCTCCCTGATAATGCACCTGGGAAAGCAGCAGAGGATGGCCCTAGTGCTTGGCCTCTGCACGCCTATAGGAGACCCAGAAGAAGCTCCTGGCTTCTAGCTTCAACCTGGCCCAGTCTCAGCCACCATGGCCATTTAAGGAGTGAACCAGCACATGAAGATCTCTGTATCTCCTCCTCTCTCTGTTAACTCTGCCTTTCAAATAAATCAATCTTAAAAAAAGAAAAACTAGTTGTTACTTCATCTGTTCACCCTTGTAAATACACAATACATTTATACACCATAATTTGATGTTTACATAATGTGCTCTTCAAGAACAAGAACCATATTTTATTCAACTTTATATATTGAATGCATAGTAGACACTAAATTTAAAAAAAATTTTAAATAAACGAATCTTTCTCTCTCCACTTTAATGTCTCTTTCTTTCTCTCCTTGGCCTCCAACATTTGCTCAGAATCCTGATCATAAAAAAAAAAAAAATTTATAGCCGATGAATCTTGGCATACTGCCAGTAAACACAGGCCCTCTATGTGCCCAAACACCTTTACACCACTCTATGTAGTCAAGATTTGGAGCAAGAGCTCTCCCGGACAGTCCCAGTGCTCTCCATTGCCAGAGGAAATAACCAGCTCCATCTGCAAGCAGAGGAATTTCACTCAGACCACAGGAGAACACTCATAAAGGAGAAGGAGATGATTTATCAAGAGGGAGGAAGGTTATATTACAAAGTAAACTTCCCAAAGGGGCAGAGTTAACGCTGTACAAACACACTACAGGTTAAAGTACTTCTCAGGAGGGGAGTTACTGAGTAAACTAAGCATGGGAGAGAACCTTTAATTAGGGAAGGAGACTTTAGATCAAAAGGATGGGAGGAGTGAGATGGGAGTGAAAGGAATGGCTTGTCTTGGAAATCCAAATATTGGCTTCCACACGCCTGGAGTCAGCAGACACCGCTGAGCGTTTTTCACTCATCCTCCCCCCTCACCAGGCAAGCAAAGATGGTTTTCTGAAGGGATCAGGGGAGGGCTGTTTAAAAAAATATCCCTCAGTTTCTTGCTACACCTCTTTCTGATCCTGACGGAAACATCCCTTGTTCTCTGATCTGGTCAGAAAAGGAAGTTACTCTAATTAGATGTGAAGAACTACCCATCTTTTTTTTTTTTTTTTTTTTTGTTTGTTTACTGTGAGTAAAGATATAATGAAAAGACAAAGTTAAAAAAAATACAAAGGTAAAGTAAAGATGAATAAACTCTGCTCTCCTAATTTTGTCCTTACATCCTTTGGCACTAACAGAGTACTTGACATAGTAGATATTTAAGAAAAGTTTATAAACCGGACAAATAAATGAAAAAGAACAAGTACAAGAACAGTAAAAGTAGCCGGCGCCGCGGCTCACTAGGCTAATCCGCCTTGCGGCGCTGGCACACCGGGTTCTAGTCCCGGTCGGGGCGCCGGATTCTGTCCCGGTTGCCCCTCTTCCAGGCCAGCTCTCTGCTGTGGCCAGGGAGTGCAGTGGAGGATGGCCTAAGTGCTTGGGCCCTGCACCCCATGGGAGACCAGGATAAGTACCTGGCTCCTGCCATCGGATCAGCGCGGTGCGCTGGCCGCAGCGCGCAGGCTGCGGCGGCCATTGGAGGGTGAACCAACGGCAAAGGAAGACCTTTCTCTCTGTCTCTCTCTCTCTCTCACTGTCCACTCTGCCTGTCAAAAAATTAAAAAAGAAAAAAAGAAAAAGAAAAAGAAATTTTAGTGACTAATCAAAATACACTATTTGGAGGACCAAACTATTAAATACTACATATTTATGAATATTCAAAGTAGGTTCTAAGACTCTAGAAGAAGAGTATATGTGTGGTAGTTCATAAAATTTAGACATTTTTCACTTTGCCATTTTCAAAGATTTGGTCCAGTGTTGAACAATTCCATTATTTTAGCAAATTATAACAAAATATTTGGTATTATACACATTTTTAAAAGACTGAGCCACAAAACATAGGCAACACAGGCCAAAGCAACATAGAAATTACTCATGAAAACTTACTGAGATGATGGTAGGTATGATACACCTTAAATTATAAAATATACTAATAGCTAAGTCACATAAAAACCTGTGCAAACATTGTTTGAAATGTGTTTGTTCTACAATAAAGTTAACATATTTTAGGTATTAGGATTATGTATGTATGTATGTATGTATTATGTATTTAAGATAGCAAACTTATTGTACTGCCAAATACATGCAAAAAATATTTTAAAGGGTTTATAAAAAAGAACAAACTTTTCATTTCAAAGAAATAGGAAATCCAAAACACCTTACTTTGTTTTCTCAAGAGAAGTAAGTTCTGGGGCTCCACTGCATGGAAAGTTGACTACACATAAGGATAATACACTATATTGTTTCTACATTTTGAGTGGTACAGTATGATACCAAAATAGCGTATTTCTAACATAGAAGTGAGATAACTAGTCATCAAAATATTTCAAGAAAATAGTAGACATTAAAAATTACAACATAACCTCAGGGTCGGCACTGTGGCACAGCGGGTTAACACCCTGGCCTAAAGCGCCAGCAACCCATATGAGTGCCAGTTTGAGACCCGGCTGCTCCTCTTCCGATCCAGTTCTCTGCTATGGCCTGGGAAAGCAGTAGAAGATGGCCCAAGTCCTTGGGCCCCTGCACCCATGTGGGAGACCCGGAGGAGGCTGCTGGCTCCTGGCTTCAGATCGGCGCAATTCACGCCACTGCGGCCATCTGGGGAGTGAACCATCGAATGGAGGACTCTCTCTCTATCTGCTTCTCCTCTCTCTAACTCTGTCTTTCCAATAAATAAATAAATCTTTAAAAAAATTACAACATAACCAAATAAGAACATAAAAAAGGAAGTTGTAAAATAATTTAATTAAAAATTAATATTATCCATGTGTATTTTCAAATATCTATAAAGAATAAAATACATAGTTCTTACTTATCACTTATTATGCCCAGGCATTTTTCTAAGTTCCACACATACAACAATTCATTCCATTTTTTAAAGATTTTATTAAGTTATTTGAGAGGTAGAGTTACAGACAGAGGTAGAGACAGAGAAGGTTCTTCCCTTCACTGGTTCACTCCCCAAATGGCCATGATGGTCAGAGCTGAGCCAATCCAAAGCCAGGAACCAGGAGCTTCCTCCATGTTTCCCATGTGGGTGCAGGGGCTAAAGTACTTGGGCCATCTTCCACTGCCTTCCCAGGCTCTAAGCAGAGAGCTGGATCAGAAGAGGAGCAGTCAGGAAATGAACTGGCACCCATATGAGATGCCAGTGCCACAGGCAGTCCATTTTCATAATAATTTTATGATGTATAGGTGGGTGTTGTGGTGTAGCAGCTTAAGTCCGTTTGGGAAGTCTGCATCCTATATCACAATGACTGGTTCAAGACTCAGCTACTTGCTTCAGATCCAGTTTCCTGCTAATGCCATCCTAGGAGGCATGTGGTGATGGCTCAAGTGGCTGAGTCCCTGCCACCTATGTGGGTGAACCAGAAGAAATTCTGGACTCCTGGCTTCAGCCTGGTAATCCCTGGATGTTTCAGACATTTAGGGAGTGTACCAGCAAATGGGAGATCTCTCTCTCTCTCTATCGCTCTCGATCTCTCGATCTCTTGATCTCTCTTTCTTTCTGCTTTCAAACAAATCAAAATAAATAAATTTAAATAAGAATAATATTATGAGGTAATCACTATTATTATCATTCATTTAATTGATGAATAACCAGAGGCAAAGATAAGTTGATTTGACCTAAAGTGACACAGCTAATAAGTAATGAAGTCAGCATTCAAACCCAAGCAATAGGACTCCAGAAAGGTATGCCATTCTGCCTGTCATAAAATATCAAACTATCAAGTGGCAGAATTATGGGTGAATTTTTAAATTTTTCTTTTTTATATTATTTATAAGTTAACTGAATAATAAAGACTAATCATAGCAAACATTTAGTAAAAGCACTAACCATAAGGATAGACATCATTTCTTGAAACAGTCTCATAAGATGAATGGTCCTTTTAGACCCATTTTACAGATAAGGAAAGTGAGGCACACAGAGGTAAGGTAATGTACCCAAGAACACACAATGAATACATTTCACAGTCAGAGTTGAATTCAAGTAATCTAACTCCAAGAAGTGGGACTTTGTTCTTTACTACACAAAAACTTAGAGGTAACAAAGAGAAATGACATGATTATTTTTATGATACTTTTTATAAACCATAATTCTTAATAAAACTAGATCTGAAGTCAAAATAATGTACTCCATCAAAGGTGCTAAATAACACAGTTTTTTATCTACCTAAAAGAACAAATAACACCCTATCTACAAGCTCATTCTCCAATGTGGTGACCACAAGAAACTATTTTTTCAGAAGTTGCTAAAGAAACAAAGTACATTATAGGGCTCTGGAGCAATCAATGAAAACTTTAGTAGTGGGGCCAGCACTGTGGCGCAACAGGTTAAGCCGCCATCTGCAAAGCCAGCATCCCATATAGGTACTGGTTGGAGACCCAGCTGCTCCACTTCCTATCCAGCTCCCGGCTAATGCACCTGTGAAAGCAACAGAAGATGGCCCAAGTGCTTGGGATGCTGAAACCATGTGGGAAACTCACATGAAGATCCTAGCTCTTGGGTTTGGATCAGCCCAGGGCCGGTCCTTGCAGCCATTTGGGGAGTAAAGAAAGATCTTGCTCTCTCCCCCTCTCTCTCTCTCTGTAACTCTTTCAAATAACTAAATAAATCTTTAAAAAAAAAAAAAAAAAGCGGGGTGGGGAGGGGACACTGGCTATAGTGAGTATACAAATTCACTTCAATTATTTCTCCCCGTCCCTCCACAAGGGTGCCTGGAAATGGCAGGGAGAAGGCACCATTGACACCAGTAGTGGCTGTGGCAGCTCTCATGCACGCATGTAATCAGGGGATTTTTACCAGAAGGTAAAATCCTTATTCTCCACTGATGCTGAGTTTGGCTAGGAGGGTTGACAGGGGACTAGGCACCCTTATAGGACTGTGAGGTGGCCCCATCGTTTCAGCATATACCAGGCCAACCTTCATTGTTTTATCTGAAGGCACTGAAATCAACATATAAAAGAAATATCTGCACTCCCATATTCACTGCAGTATTATTCACAGTACCTAAGATCCAGAATCAACCTAGCTGTCCATGGATGAATGAATAAAAGTGCAATATATATTCACAATGGACTATTATTCAGCCATTAAAAAAGAATGAAACCCTAAATTTGCAGCTAAATGGATGGAACTGGAGATCATTGTGTTAAGTGAAATAAACTGGACACAGAAAGATAAATAATGTATGCTCTCCTTCATATATGGAAAAATAGTTTATCTGAACTTAGAATAGTGATTATTATAGCCTGGGAATACAATCAAACGGAAGTAACAAGTTCAAATTTGGACAGCACAGTGGTGTGACCAGAGTCCACAATAATGTATTACACACGCAATGGAGGCCGGCACCGTGGCTCACTTGGTTAATCCTCCGCTTGCAGCGCTGGCGTCCCATATAGACCCTGGGTTCTAGTCCCAGTTGCTCCTCTTCCAGTCCAGCTCTCTGCTGTGGCCCAGAAAGGCAGTGGAGGATGGCCCAAGTGCTAGGGCCCCTGCACCCGCATGGGAGACCAGGAGGAAGTACCGGGCTCCTGGCTTCGGATTGGTGCAGCACGCTGGCTGTAGCGGCCATTTGGGGGGTGAACAAACAGAAGGAAGACCTTTCTCTCTGTCTCTCTCTCTCACTGTCTAACTCTGTCAAATAAAAAAGTAATAATAATAATGTATTACACACTGCATGAAGAACTAAAGAAGAGGAGCTGGTAGGCTCTAAACACAAGAAAAGATAAAATGATAGAAAGGCAGGTTATCTGGCTTGATTAGTTTATACTGTACATACAATTTTAAACTCCTCCTTGTATTTAATGCCACAGAAATGAAATCCAAATAAATATAAGTAATGTCCCCACCAAGAGATGCTGCACACTGATAAACTCTAGGGACAAAGAGTCACCCCACCTGCACCATAACTAATCTTGAGGCAAAAAGAACAAACAAAATTTCCCAACCTAACTATAGAAACAGTATCTCCAGTTGGGGAATAATATCAAAAGCCTAGTGCTACCCAGGACAACTTTCTGAAAACTCTGAGCAACAGCAAATGAACTTGGAACCCAGCTGACACACAATGATAGTATCACAAGTGAGTAATACTCAAATCCCTGGCAAAAATGTGAGGTTTATTCAACATACAATGGGACTATTAATTGGATCCAAGCACTGTCATCTCCACATAGCAAGAACATCCACACTAAGGCTTCAGAGTTGCTAAATAGTGAACAAACTAAACATATCAAAAATAGAAGTCCAAAACACTTTTATAGTAAATTCACTTAAGAGCTCACTTCTGCAAGGAAGGAAGAAAAAAACAAAGGAGCAAGCAAACAAACAAGAAAAAAAGAACTATCAGTATTAAAAATAAGGAAAATATGGGAGAAAAAACAGAGGAAAGAGGGGATAATATACCAACAGTATACTTAAAATTATTGACTCTATAAACACAACTTTTAAAAGAATTCTCATTTATAGTTTCATAAGAAATTCTTAAATACTTAAGGGTCTACACTTACCCACTAGTACCTTTCCCCTCTTCAAGACACTTCACTGCCATCTGCTGGATAGTTTTCCCAGTGACTATGTAGAGCTACACTGTCTATAGTATAAATGAAACCACCTCAGATAAGCAGTAGCTGGAAACTATACAACCTGCACAACTCTACAAAGCAGTCAAATTAATTTAAGCCACACATAAACCTCCACAATGAATTAGAAATATTTAATGTGTCTGGCTATAGGAGTCAGCCGTAGCACAGCAGGTTAAGCTGCCACTTATGATACCAGAGTCCCATATCAGAGTGCTGTTCTAGTCCCATCTCCTCTACTTCCAATCCAGCTCCCTGATACTGTTCCTAGGAAGGCAGCAGAGGATGGCCCAAGGACTTGAGTCCCTGCCACCATGTGGGAGATCAGGATGGAGTTCTGGCTCCACCTTCAGCCTGGCCCAGACCTGGTTGTTACAATCATCTGGAGAATGAACCAGCAGATGGAAGAGCTATCTCTGTTTCTCCCCCTCTCTCTGTCCCTCTGCCTCTCAAAATAAATAAATCTAAAACAAAAAAATGCCTAAATATATGGTTTACAGAGGCTAGGCTCACAGGAGCCTCTCAGTTATGCACATAACCTATAACATCATCTTTGAATTAACTAGTGATAAAGTAATAATACTAGAGTTCTCACTTCAAGCTGATAAAGAGCAGCAGATCGCTCTCTGACCCCTGGCTTTCTATCAAACTGATTCTAGTATAAAGGAAAGCAAAAACAGGAATTTCCCTGCAGGTTCATTCTCTTCATATGCTTCCGAATGGACTTCATTTTAGTTACTCATTTATTTAATAGGGCTGACTGCCTGCTTTGTATGTTGTCTCTGAGAACAAGAACACTGCAATAAACAAGGATCTAATGCAGCTATTCCTAGAGCCATGGGTCTCCTTATTAGTAAATCATTATTTTGGTGACAACATTCAAGCAGTGATTTGTTGTTTGTTTGTTTGTTTAAGATTTATTTTATTTATTTGAAAGAGAGTTACAGAGAGAAGTAGAGACAGAGAGAGAGGTCTTCCATCCGCGGGTTCACTCCCCAGATGGCCGCAATGGCCAGAGCTGCGCCGATCCGAAGCCAGGAGCCAGCAGCCTCTTCCAGGTCTCCCATACCGGTGCAGGAGCCCAAGGACTTGGGCCATCTTCTACTGCTTTCCTAGGCCAAAACAGAGAGCTGGATCGGAAGAGGAGCAGCTGGGACTAGAACCGGCGCCCATATGGGATGCCGGTACTTCAGGCCAGAGCGTTAACCTGCTGCACCACAGTGCCAGCCTCAACAAGCAGTGATTTGAATAGAATATGTTCTAAAAATTTTATCTGATCAAAATAATCTAATGGTACAAAAACAGTATTATCAGAAATAAACTTGCAGGAAATGCTCATATTTCAACTCAGGTATAGAGAGGTCTAGATTGCAGCCATTCTTCACTTGTGGGCCAGACAGAATGATCAACTCTCCTTTATTTAAACTTTTTTTTTTTTAAGATTTTTTTTTTTTTTTTTGAAAGGCAGAGTTACAGAGAAAGAGAGGAGAGACAGAAATCTTTCATCCACTGGTTCACTCCCCAAGGAACTGCAAAAGCCAGAGCTGGGCCAGGCTGAAGCCAGGAGCCAGGAACTTCATTCAGGTCTCCCACGTGGGTACAGGAACCCAAGTACTTGTGCCATCTTTCACTGTTTTCTCAGGCACATTAGCAGACAGCTGGATCAGAAGTGGAGCAGCTGGAACAAAAACTGGCACCCACATGACATGCTAGTCGCAGGCAGACCTTCATTTAAACTCTTAAAAGAAGTAGCCCAAATACCATCTCCATGTAGACTGGCCTTGGACTAGCAAGTTGAGAAAAACAAGGAGAATCAAGGGAATTTCAAAGTCTTTCAAGCAATTTGTTGCCAAGAAATGAAAACCTTCTAGAACTCTTCCTCAAAAAACTTAAGAAATTTCTGTCCTGTCCTATCAATGACCTGTTGCAACTTAAAACCAATTTTAAGTAACATGGGACTTGTTCTTCCAGTGCCTGGCTTATTAAAGACTGCCAGGTGGCAAAAACAAAACTCCTGACCAATTTTATATAGCAACATGGGAAATAAAAATGAAAAGATGACACCTGGGATTTTTTTTCATTTGGAGAATTAACCTACAATAAACTTCTGACTTATTTTAATAAGTCTGGAAACAAGGACAAATTCTGGGTCATGTCATCCAAAATACAAATTTAATAACTTAGAGTTTAAATCTGGAAGACCTTTGAAGGCTTGGAATTCCCAGCTACATAAGAACTGCCAGAATTTGTACATTGAATAGAGGCCACTTTCTGTTTTTTTAAATGCTGACAATATATAATTTTATTTAGTTATTTATTTTAAGTTATATATTTATTTATTTATTTCAAAAGCAAAATGACAGAAAGAGAAACATAGAGATCTTTCATCCACTGGGTCACTCACCTAACGCCAACAACAGCCAAGAGTGGTTGAGGCTGAAGCCAGGAGCCCAGAATTCCATCCAGGTTTCTCATGTGGGTGGCAGGGGCCCAAATACTACGTCAGCCATCACATGTAGCCTCCCATGTGCATTATCAAGATCAGAAGCAGAGGCAAGACTTGATCCTAGGCCCTCTGACATGGAATGCAGGTGTCCCAAGAGGCCGCTTAACTAGCTGTGCTACAATGCCTGCCTCTTTATTTATTTTTATCTTTTTATTTTTTCCTCAGCTTTATTAAGGCATAATTGAAAATAAAAACCACATAAACTACAATGTACATGTTTTAATATATGTATACACTGTTGAATGATTAAATCAAGGTATTGACATAGCTGTCACCTCACACACTGATCATTTTTTGATGGTGAAAATATTTAAGATCAACTCTCCTGGCAATTTTCAAGTACATAATACGTATTCATTAACTATAATCATCATATTATATAACAGCTCTCTGGAATTTATAACATCCTGCGTAACTGAAACTGTACTCTTTAACCAACATCTTCCCAGCTCTTCCTTCCCAGCCTCTGGTAAGCACCATTCTACCCTCCGCTTGTATGAGTCTAACTTTTTTAGATTCCATATGTAAGTGAGATCACACACATTGTCTTTTCTGTGCCTGGCTTATTTCACTTAGCATAATGTCCTCCAGGTTCATCCATGTTGTTACAAATGACAAGATTTCCTTTTTTTTTTTTTTTTTTTGTCTAAATAGTATTGTTATACAGATATATGTATACATAACATTTTCATTCTTGTTTTAATATTTTAAATTTTTACTTATTTGTTCTTATCTGTTTGAAAGCCAGAAGACAGCCATATAGGCAGAGATCTTCCATCTGCTGGCTTATTTCCCAAATGCTGGCAAAACCAGGGCTGGGCCAGACCAAAGTCAGGAGCCAAGAACTCAATTCAGGCTGTCTACCTGAGCGGCTAGACCCAATTCTAGAGCCATTACCTGATGCCCTGCTGGGTACACATGAGCAGGAGCCTGGGATCAGGAGAAGTGCTGGCACATGAGACCAGGCACTCCAATACAGGATGTGGGCATCCCAAGTGGCATCTTAACTTCTAGGCCAAACACCCACCCAACACATTTTCTTTTTCTATTTGTCCATCAGTAGTCACAAGTTGATTCCATATCTTGGCTACTGTGAATAATGCTGCAATGAACATAGGTATATACATGTATCGATTGGACATGTACACAGAAGTGGAACTGTTGGATCATATAGTAATTCTACTTTTAATTTTTTGAGCAACCTTCATACTGTTTTTCCATTACAGCAGTACCAATGTACATCCTACCAACAATGGACAAGGATTCCCTTTCACCACATCCTTGCCAACATGTTGTCTTTTGTTATTTTAATAATAGCCATTCTAACAGGTATGAGTGGTAACTCATTGTGGTTTTGATTTGCATTTCCCTAATGATTAGTGATGCTGAACATTTTTTTTATACTTACTGAAAAGAGGCCACTTTCTGGTTAAGTACTGGTCGTACACAAGCACTCATGCTAAAAAAAAAAAAAACCTGATTTGGAAGTTCAAGCTAAATATACTCCTTAAAAATATTTTTTCCTCCAAAATTACCCAAGAACCACTTTGCCAATTACTTACTCCATTATGAATGAAATGGTCTTTTCTGGTTGAACAGCATAGCCTAAAACCATTTCAAGGATACCTTGAAAACTGCTTGGAAAAATGAAATTAAAAGGTAAGTTTGTTTTGGTGAAAAATTTTTGAAATATATGCATTTTTAAGCTTTATTTATTTATTTGAAAGTCAGAGTTACAGAGAGAGAGAGAGGAAGTAAGAGATAGAGAGATAGAGAGACAATCTTTTATCCACTAGTTCACTCCCCAGATGGCCATAATGGACAAGGATTTTGGGCCATGCCAAAGCCCCAGGACAGAAGCTTCACCCATGTCCCCCACGTGAGTGCAGGGGCCCAAGCACTTGGGTCATCTTCCACAGCTTTTCCCAAGCCATTAGCAGGGAGTTGGATCATAAGTGAAGCAGCCAGGACAGAAACCAGCACCCATTTAGGATGCTGGCAATGCAAGTGGAAGCTTTATCCACTATGTCAAAACACTGGCCCTATAATATGCATTTTCTATGAACTTTTTGAAGCCCTTACATATGTATGAATTCAAAAATTGGTTGCAACAAGATAAACTTTTAATTCCACTTCCACAAATTTTATGAAGAATCCTTTTATTTCAAAGGACACTTTGCTCATCCTCAATAGAAAATATATTGGTAAATAATCCTTTAACAATATTTGCCAGCATCCCTCTTTATAACCACAATCCTGGGTTTCTCCAGTCAATATTATGCAAGGAGCTGTCAATTATTGAGGTGCAATTATTCTTATATTGATTGTGGGGAGCAATCCGGACTGGACTAAGTTACTGGAATTAAGACTTATTCTATGCATCTGCTCTCCCACAATATGGCGCTGGGAGAGAAGTAAACAGCTTCCGCACAGCTGCCTCCAGTTCAACCAATAAACTGTAGGACTTGCTCCTGATTGGAGGAGAGCAGCGTGCTCGGCGTGTGGGCAGCCGAGTTGGGATTGGCGGAGGAGGACTATAAAGGAGGAGAGAGACAGCATGCACCAGGAACATCTAAGGGGAACATCTAAGGGAACCTGTGCAGCCCCCGAGAAGAGCCGGCCGGCGGTGTGCCGCTCCCCTGCGGAAGTGGGGAATGTGGCCAGGGGGAACTGCCCTTCCACGGAGGTGGAAGGGATAGTAGCCAACCCGGGAAGAACCAGCAGCAAACCCGGGGAGGGCCGAGCAGACAGAAAGAACAGCGCAGGGTCCTGTGTCGTTCCTCCACGAAGAGGGGGAGCGACATTGATCATAAGAAGTGATTAGAAAGAATATCCATTGCCTGAAGCCGTTATTAATCCTTACTTAGCTTAAGATTCTAGGCAGAAATTTTATGAACTCAAAAAGGAAAGAAAAAAAAAGTTCTTTCCTGAAACTTTGAGTTTATTCCTTAATTTCAGCATAAGACTTCAGAACTGTAGGCAAGGTCTTCAGAAAGATCAGATGTTAACTTTAGTTAAATGAAACAAGGACCCTTTGTTGTTGTTGTTGTTGTTACTATCATTTTGTCCTATACCTGAAGGATTTGCTAACTCTTTTGGAAGAGCTAAATGTTTTCCTTCCCTTCCCCAGGTCCCACACAAAGAATGGGAAAAGGAGCTATTTCTTATATGCTGCTTATGTGGTTTTAGGTGTGACCCTAGCAAACTGGTCCTGCTACCTAATTACTGCCAAAAGAAGTAGATTTAGACTAACCACAAGCAATTCTTAACTCACTTAATAAATGAGGTCCTGGGAACCCACATGCAAAACAAATATTTATAAATAAAAACAATTTCTCAGAAGTAATAATGATGATACTAAATTGTTTGTGGATGAAATAATCAGATACCCAGGATTAACTCCAAAATTAGCTGGAATGAGGAAGCAGGGGGAAGTGGACAGCAGTGAAAGTATTAGATGAAACAAGATTTAATGTGTACTGATAACTATTAAAACTGTGAGATGGATACACAAGTATTTATGATGCCATTTTCTTTACTTTTGCATGTTTTAAATTTTCTTTTTATATAAAACAGTGTTTTAATTCTTGTCCTTAGGAACTATAAAGACTATACATGATTTGGAAATGAAACTATACCAAACAACGGCCAAAGAAGAATCATCCATTCTATGCCTTCTCTTTCGTCTGATCACTCAGAAAGATAATGTTATCAGCAATGATGGTGGTTGTTTGTCGCCGCACGTTATTTTTATCCATGTATTCACCATAGTCTACCTTCCCTTCCACATAAATTCGAGACCACTTTTTCACATACTGATACGCCACATCTCTGAGGCCTGGCCGGAATACTGATATTCTGTGCCACGTTGTTTTTTGACTAACATCACCCATTTGGTATGTTTCATTATCCCCGGATCGCCACATCTCATTTGTTGCTAGGGAAAATATTGTGACTGGATTTTTTCCTTCCACCTGTCTCATGACAGGGTCCTGACCCACTCGCCCCAGTAACTGCACACGATTCAGAGATCTTTCAAGAACCAAACTGCTAGCTATTTCTGACTCATGTCTTACAAACTGACGAAGCACCTGTAACACAGGTCTTCGAAACATGGCTTCTCTTCTTACAGTCTAACCTCTGTGCTGGTCCTGGCGCTCCAGCAGACAGCCTCCAGCCCTAAATTTTCTTCAACAAACACATTAGAAATGAAAAATGAATGTGATAGGAAATGGTTGTATATATCAAAGTTTTAATGTGCCTGGGAAAACAGCAGAAGATGGCACAAGTCCTTGGACCCGGTAAGAGACCTGGATGAAGCTCCTGGCTCCAGGCTTCAGTCCGGCCTAGCTCTGGCCATTGTGGCCATTTGAAGAGTGAACCAGCAGATGGAAGATTCTTTCTCTCTCTCTCCCTCTCTATAATTCTGCTTTTCAAATAAATAAAAATTAATCTTTTTTAAAAAAAAAAAAAGAACATATCCTACAGAAATTGCAGTATCAATATAAAAAGAGATCACGTATAAGAATACAGAAGTGTTTAAAATAACAATGTGGGAAGGGAAAAGGAGAACATCTAAATGTCTATTCTGCAGTCATTAAAAAGAATGAAGTAGGGGAGGCACTGTGGTATAGAAGTTTCAGTCACTGCTTCTGATGTCTCCATCCCATATCAGAGTGCCTGGCATAGAGTGACACCTCCACTTTCAACCCAGAATCCTGCTAATGACTTCCTGCTGGGAAGTAGCAAATGACAGTCCAAGTACTTGGGTCCCTGCCACCCACGTGGGAGACCCAGATGGAGTTTTGAGCTTCTGGCTTCAGCCTGGCCCAGCTCTAGTTGTTGGAGGCATTTGAAAAGTGGACCAGTGGATGAAAGTTATCTCTCTCTCTCTTCCTCTGTTACTCTGTTTTCCAAATAAATAAATCTCTATTTTTAAAAAATGAAGTAAAAGCTAAAATATTTGACTTATAAAGATATTTGGTGTATTTATATATTATTAGATAGAATAAAATAGATTAGTGTCAAAAATATACTAATTCCCATTTAAAAAGAAAAACCATGAGGCACAGAGGCTAAGATGCCACTTGAGACGCCTGCATCCCATTTCAGAGTACCTAGGTTGGAGTCCTAGCTCTGCTTCTGATTCTAGTTTCCTGCTAATGCTCACCCTTGGGTACAACAGGTGATGGCTCAAGTACTTGGGTCCCTGTCAGCTACAGGGAGAACTAGATGGAGTTTCAGGCTCCTGGCCTCAGCATGACCCAGCTCTGGCTACTGTGGGCATTAGGGGACTGACCCAGTGGCTGGAAGATCCTTTTTTGTCTCTCATTCTCTCTGTCTCTCTCTCTCACTGACTCTCACATAAATAAATAATACATAAATAAATAAAATTTAAATCATAATAATTTAAAAAGAAAATATAAGGTTATACATTTTATGTAAATAAATATAATGTTTATATAAGTATAGAAAAAACTCTAGAAAACTACAATGTTAAACCACTAATAATGCTATGGGGTGATTTTAGAGAGAAGACAGGCAGCTCTACTTATATATTTCTAGATTGTTTCTTTTTTTCTACAATAATGTATAAAGATTCAAAATATTGAAAAGCCATTACAATTTAAAAATAAAATTTAGTTGCAAGATCTCACCATGGATAACAAAATCCTCATAGTCAAGTTCCTTAAATAAAATGGCAAGGTATTTGCATCTAATCTATATACATTCGTTCATATTCTTAAATCATCTCTAGATTATCTGTAATACCTAATACAATGTAAATGTTATGTAAATAGTTGTTATGCTATACTGTTTAGGAAATAATGATGATTAAAAAAAAAGTCTGTACACCTTCAGTACAGACACAACTTTGTTAATATTTTCAACCTGTAGTTAGTTGAATACATAGATAAGCAGATATGGAGTGCTGGCTGTTCCTGGTATAAAGGATACCAACTATAAAAAGGAAATAAGGGGCCGGCGCCGCGGCTCACTAGAATAATCCTCTGCCTTGCGGCGCCAGCACACCGGGTTCTAGTCCCGGTCGGGGCGCCGGATTCTGTCCCAGTTGCCCCTCTTCCAGGCCAGCTCTCTGCTGTGGCCAGGGAGTGCAGTGGAGGATGGCCCAAGTGCTTGGGCCCTGCACCCCATGGGAGACCAGGTAAGTACCTGGCTCCTGCCATCGGATCAGCGCGGTGCGCCGGCCGCAGCGCGCTGGTGACTGCAGCCATTGGAGGGTGAACCAACAGCAAAAGGAAGACCTTTCTCTCTGTCTCTCTCTTCTCTCACTGTCCACTCTGCCTGTAAAAAAAAAAAAAAAAAAAAGGAAATACGGGGGCCAGTGCTGTGGCGCAAAGGGTTAAAGCGCTGTCCTGAAGTGCCAGCATCCCATATGGGTGCCAATTCTAGTTCCAGCTGCTCCTCTTCCCATCCAGCTCTCTGCTATGGCCTGGGAAAGCAGCAGAAGATGGCGCAAGTCCTTGGGAGACCCAGAGGAAGCTCCTGGCTCCTGGCTTCGGATCAGCGCAGCTCCGACCATTGCGGCCAATTGGGGAGTGAACCAGCAGTTGGAGGACCTCTCTCTCTCTCTCTGCCTCTCCTCTTTCTGTGTAATTCTGACTTTCAAATAAGCAAAACAAATCTTTTTAAAAAATGAAAGAGGCTGGCGCCGCGGCTCACTAGGCTAATCCTCCGCCTTGCGGCGCCGGCACACTGGGTTCTAGTCCCGGTGGGGGCACCGCATTCTGTCCCGGTTGCCCCTCTTCCAGGCCAGCTCTCTGCTGTGGCCAGGGAGTGCAGTGGAGGATGGCCCAAGTGCTTGGGCCCTGCACCCCATGGGTAACCAGGATAAGTACCTGGCTCCTGCCATCGGATCAGCGTGGTGCGCCAGCCTCAGCGCGCCAACCGCGGCGGCCACTGGAGGGTGAACCAACGGCAAAAGGAAGACCTTTCTCTCTGTCTCTCTCTCTCTCACTGTCCACTCTGCCTGTTAAAAAAATAAAATAAATAAATCTTTAAAAAAAAGAATAATATAAAAAAAAAGAAAGAAAAAACACAAATAATAGGACACACTTCTCAGCAAGTATATGTCTTCTGTGGAACAATCATGAATAGAAAGAACCAAGGCAGACTGGGTGGGAAAGGATTAGCAGTGTAAAACAAAGGAAAGGAAGACAAACAGAAAAAAAAAAATGCCAAAGGAAAGAGGAAATAAAAGAGTTACATAAATAGAAGACAACCACCACTTCATATGAAAATGGTGCTGGAAAATAGAGGGAGAGACAAAGCAGTTAGCAGCTATGGAAAAATCATCTTTAGTTTCCTTCATTTTAAAAAAAATAGTGACTATCAATAGTATATCAGTTTCACCTTACCGGATAACAACGTGAGACAGCAGTCTGGTTGCTAGACTTGCAGTTCAATATTATTAGCCACCCACATGCATTTATCTTTCCTCCTGAGATCCCATTAAAAAAAAGGTATCAGCCAACCACCCTAAAAAGAACAAGGAAAGGACCCCTAACTCATAAGAAATAGCTAGAAATTTCTGGAAGACAAAAGCTAGTAAAAGGCAGTAAAGACAAAACAAAGCTGTATTTGAAAAAAAAAATAGCTTGGAGTATTTGCCAAAGGAATAAAATCCAAAAGGAATCTAACTTCCAGCCACTACCATGGACAGGGTCATGACTCAGCATATCAGGAATAGGGGCAGAGATTTAGCCTAGTGGTTAAGACACAGGTTAACATGCTAACATCCCAACTCTGGGTTTGATACCTGGCTCTGACTCCTATTTCCAGCTTCCTACTAAGGTAGACCCTGAGAGGCAGCAATGATGGGTCAAATAATTGGCTTCCTATCACATACATGGGAGACCTGAAAAGCATTCCTGGTTCCCAGCTTTTACCCAGTCCTGGTCAATTCAAGCATCTGGGAATCAATCAGCAGATTAAAGTGCTATGCACTCTCACACTCTCTCTCAAGTAAATTTTTTAAAAAATTTAATACCAGGAATAATGGAAGCACTGAAAAAAATGGATTAATTGAAAGACTCAATACAGAATAAAACCTCTACACATTCCCATACATGGGGGGATCCCCATACATGGAAAGTCCAGCAATCAAATCCCTAACTCTAGGACAAAGTATCATGGGGTTTTACATGGAAAAAGCACACAGGCTGAGAATATATTAAAATCACTGCATTGTGCACAGTAAATGAGAGAATTGTATGGTATGTTAATTATGTCTCAAAAAGTGATTGCTCTTTTGCATACAATGACACCAAACAAAAACAAAAATCTCCCCAAATCCTCCCTGCCAGTGTGAAGGAGGAAACCAGTCTCCAAAGGGAACTTAGACCTTTCAAGAAATCTGTCAGTGATCAGGAGGTTTAGCCTATTTCTAGGCCAACACAGGGGCCCAGGAAGTTGCCTAACCTATGTATTTAAAAAAAAAAAAAAAAAAAAAAGAGAGGAGGGGTGGCACTCTGGTATAGTAAGTTAGGCATCCACCTCTGGCACCAGCATCCCATACGTGTGTTGGTTCAGGTCCCAACTGCTCCACTTCCAATCTGGCTCCCTGCTGATGGCCTGGGAAAGCAGTGAAAGATGGCCCAAGTGCTTGGACCTCTGCACCCAAGTGGAGATCCAGAAGAAGCTCCTGGCTCCTGGCTTTGGATTGGCCCAGCTCCAGCCATTATGGCCATCTGGGGAATGAACCAGTGGATGGAAGATCTCTCTCCTCTCTATCTGTAACTCTGCTTCTCAAATAAATACATAAATCTTAAAAAATAATAATAATAATAAATAGAAGAAATTTTTTTTCTTCCACAGTGAGAAATCAGTTAATACTGTCTAGAATTCAATGTGAATTTCTGTATTTGCAAATGTAGAAACTGACATTACCATCTTAAGTTTAAGAGATCTTTGAAAAATGAACTACACTTGTGCTGAAGAAACAGTTACCTCGACTTCAGTAATTCAGTAAGCATAGAATAGGACTTCCACTTCCAGGGGGTTGGAGCTGATATAGGTGTTTCTCATTCCTCTCATCAAATACAGCTAAAAACTCTGGATACCACATAGATATAAAACAAACCTCAGAAGATCTGAAAGCTGGAAAGAAGGCTTGGAATCTAAGTAAAATATGGTTGTAAGCTTCCTGGGTTAGTGATTGTTAGTTTTATTAAGTTGTCCCTCATATCTCAGACTTGGAACTGTACAAGCTGGAAACCAGAAACACAAACATGTGCAAATAAAAAGAGCCCTCAGTAAAAGCCTACTCTTTCTAACCAAAAGATCATGAAAAGGGCCACCTACCAAGACAGAAAATTTCTACACAATAACTATTCTACTCCAGACAAACACTACAGGGGAGAAAAAAAAAAAAAACTGTAGCGCTACACCCACCTATACCATTAAGGTAGAGGAGGAACACAGACTTCACCCTCACGAGGCATTAACAAACTGTCCAAGAATCCCATTAGAAAAGGCTAAAGCTGGCGCCGCGGCTCAATAGGCTAATACTCTGCCTGCAGCGCCGGCACCCCAGGTTCTAGTCCCGGTCAGGGTGCCGGATTCTGTCCCGGTCACCCCTCTTCCAGGCCAGCTCTCTGCTATGGCCCGGGAGTGCAGTGGAGAATGGCCCAAGTCCTTAGGCCCTGCACCCACATGGGAGACCAGGAGAAGCACCTGGCTCCTGGCTTCGGATCAGCACGGTGCACCGGCCGCAGTGTGCCGGCCGCAGCAGCCACTGGGGGGTGAACCTTTCTCTCTGTCTCTCTCTCTCACTGTCCACTCTGCCTGTCAAAAAAAAAAAAAAAAGAAAAAGAAAAAAGCTAAGCAGGGGGCCGGCACTGTGGCTCACTAGGCTAATCCTCCACCTACAGCGCCGGCACCCCAGGTTCTAGTCCCGGTTGGAGCGCTGGATTCTGCCCCGGTTTCTCCTCTTCCAGGCCAGCTCTCTGCTATGGCCCAGGAGTGCAGTAGAGGATGGCCTAAGTCCTTGGGCCCCGCACCTGCACGGGAGACCAGGAGAAACACCTGGCTCCTGGCTACAGATCAGCACGGTGCACCGGCCGCAGTGCGCTGGCCGCAGTGGCCATTGGGGGATGAACCAACGGAAAAAGGAAGACCTTTCTCCCTCTCTCTGACTCTCTCTCTCTCTCACTGTCCACTCTGCCTGTCAAAAATAAATAAATAAATAAATAAATAAATAAATAAATAAAAGAAAAGGCTAAGCAGGGAGGTAGAACTTCCACCCACACTAGACAATTAGCCATCTTCCATACCACAGTGTCATCAGACTCCAAGTAGGGAGCTAGATCTTCCATCTCTATAACGAGGAACCCCAATCTCAAGCATCAACAGAGGCCAAGTGGGAAATATGGATAGCTATCTCCAACTAACAGTAATGCAATGACAACCTCTGCATTCTCCATTAAGACTGGTGTCCAAAACCACCAGCTAAAACAGTGGGTTT